GGTTTTATTTTCCTCTCTGCTCTGTTGTGACTGTTGGTCAGAGCTGACTCAGTCGTGGTTTATCGGTGGGTCTAAATTTTTACTTTTCTACAGAACCTGGTTCCTGCCAACTGTTTATTTTTTAAGTAAATTCATAAACAGGCCATTTTGAATGAAGCTATTTTGATTAAATATGATTTTAAACTGAGATCCAGTTATTTTTCTTAAAGGAACGTCACATTGACGAGCTCACAGACCGTCTGACAGGTAAAAATCCAACTATTTTCTGTATTTACAGTTTCTGTCATTTTGGCATTTTATTTAGTAGAAACCCTTGAAACCAGCTGGCAGGTTTTTGGGGTTCAGTGGGTTAAAGTTGGACCTCATTCCTCAGATATTTTCACCTTTTATTGACCGGTTACTGACGAGTCTCTTGTCAAAAGCATCACAGTCGATGAGGTTCCATCGCTGGTTCCTTCTCTCCTACATTTAGCTCACGTTGATCCGTGTTGTTCAATTATCCAGCATAAACTAAAACCTTGAAATTGGACTTTACAGTTGGAAAAACCTGCTCAACCTGCAGATCTGCTGCCTTTTCAGGTCTCTTTTCTCTCTCCTTCCCTGGAGTCCTGCAGATCTCCGTCTCTTCCCGTCGACGCTCCGCTCTGCTGACGCTCTCTCACTTCCCGTCAGCCCGTCTTTATATTTCCTCTCGTCCCTCCACATTCCTTCCCTCCATCCCTCCGTCTCCAGGCCTTTGTCTTCCCTCCATCATGTGCTGCTGGCAGCTCTGAATGAGGAGCTCGGGGAGCTCAGACTCTGTCAACCAGGAAGAAAACATTGCCACAAGGGGCCGGGTCAACAAGGCTTGTTACTTAGCAACCCCCTCGCCTCCCCCTGGGAACTGGAGGCAGGCGGCCGCCGTCATTGGCTGATCCTGCTGTTGTGTAACTCTGCCGTTTCATTGCGGGCCCCGGCTGAAAGGAGATGTGTGTGCTCTGCCAGACTCCTTCTGCTCGCCGCCTCACCAAATCAGATTCCCTTCACCCTCCGCGGTGACCCAGCAATTAGTCTGTACATTTCTCAAACAGGCCGAGGGAGGAAAGGATCCGTTCGCTGGTTGATTCCTGCCAATGGAAGCCGTCCCAGCTGCTCCCCTCCTGAACCACACTCACTCCGAGATCGGACGGAGACGCCGTCGGAGATGCGGGGATTTTCAAAGAGGCTTAGAAATGAGAGAGGGGTGACGGGGTCGCGGGAGAAGAGCTTTGAACTGCAGACAGTCGCTGCAGCTCCAGTCTGCTTATGCAAGCGGCGGCGCTGGAAAGTGACGGCCCGATCCATTTGAAGTCGGTTTCTCAGGGAAGCTGTCAGGACGGCGAAACGGTGACCTCAGCGTTCACCTCGACGGACCAGCACTTCACTGAGACTCAGACAGAGAACTTTAAGCTGGGTCGATGCGTTCCAGCTCACGTCGAGAAAAAAATCACGCAAAGACTTCTGTCTAAAAAATTAAAGATAAATTATAGATTTTTACTATTTTAAGTTGAGTAAAAACGGAAGGAAAAAAGAGATTACAACCTCCAACTTTTTCAGTGAAACAATCAGCCGAATCCAGTGAAACATAAACAACCCATGAGGTTTTAAAGATGCTCAAAAAGAATCACTGAAGTTATAAAATTTAACACCTGTTTGGGCCCGTTTTCAAAAATTCATAAATCAAAAAGTATTTGGAGTAAAACTGTAGGATTTTGTAAGGTTCCGTGGTTTAGGAAGAAGGTTCTGCCTGATTCTTTTTTTTAAATTATACATGACATGAACGAGAAAAAGTTCTAAAATATGGAAAACTTCCTGTTTGTGGATCCGTAACTGCACAAGTCATTAAATCCTCTCCCAAAAAAAGCCTTTAATTAGTCAGATCAAATAAAAGAAATGCACAAATTTATGAAGGACAAATATTTTTCACTGTAAAGATCCACATTTTTAAATTCCAAACAGCTTTATCGTTAAAAAATATTCCGATGCTGCACGTAGAAATTATTATTTCCTGTGATTCTGCATTGATTCATGAAAATTGAACCTTAGATTGAACCTTCAATTCAACGTTCTGGCTCGTTTTGTGATTTTATTTAATGATTAATTACTACTGATTGGAGCAGTTAAAGGTTAAAATGCTTTAACTGACCAGAAATCAACAGTATTTATTTTATAACTTCCCATTTCACATATTTGTTGCTTAGAAGTTGCTGATAATTTGGTATGTGTTTGATACAGAGTTCAGTTCTGCTTAACAAGCAGCTTGTTTTTGCAGAAACAGCTTTATGTGGTCGCATGAATTTGAGTTACAATTTAAAACGCAGAACAAACCAGTTTATTTAGACAGTTTTACTGCTGTTTCCAGTGTTTAAAAAAAGCCTGAACAGCATCAGAAAACATGCAGAAATGAGGTCTAGCTGTAGTTTTTCTGCTGGTTTTAGCCTTTAGAGCCTGAAGGTGGCACTTTCTAACCCAAATTTACATCTTTTCCTCTCGGTTAAGATGCTCTCTGAGGATTTATTGCAGCTTATATCAAATAAAAACGCACATCTTGACCTTTCCAACAATGTTAGTTGCTCGTCTGTGCTGGCAAGAAAACAAATTTTTAATTTTAATCAGGAACTGATTGATTATTGAGGCTGAAATTTGACATTTTACTTATTATCA